AATTCATGAATATTCCGAAAAAAATTTAAGAAAATTTAACTACGAACACATACGACTATCGTTTATTTATATAAAATTCATGATAATAATATGACAAATTCTCATTATTAAATAAAACATAATCTTAATTGTTACAGCATTCTTGATATGGCGCACGTTATCCCATTTAATAACTGATGTGTTTTGGATTAATCTCCGTACATATATAAATAGACAGTGAGTAATTATATTATATTATAATACATATAACAATTACATAGAAAAACTAGGCCTTGTATAAAATAACATATTTGCATTCTGTTATTGTATAAAGAGCAGAGATATAAATTCTGTTTCAAATCTGTAATGTTATCTTGATTTTAAAGTTTTCTAAAATCATATGATCTATTTCTTAAATTAATATATTCTTAAATATAAACGAGATACAATCAATTTTAATAGATTAAATAATTAAAATTTAATATTTATTTAAAACATATATTGAGAATTACAAGTAAAAAATAAAATATTATTTCTTATTTATTTAAAGAACAAAAATTATTGTAGTTGCATTAATAAATTAGGAGATTAAAAATTGGTTATAAAGGTATATTCTTTAAAAATAAACGGATAATATATTATGATTAATGATAATTTCTATCGAGAGACAATTTGTTTAAAAGAAAATTTAATCCGACTTGAATATAACACTAAACAAAAAGAAATTATTCCATAGTCTATGAAGAAAGGTACCTTATGTATACCAAATTGTGTATACTTGATAATACTAATATAAATCAATGTTTATATAAATTGGACAGTAATTTCTAATAAATAGTATTTATTAAAAAAATTATTCCATTGTTTACTTTTAAATGATAAACTTCATTTTCTAGCCGTTTCTCAGCGACTTATTCAAACATGACAACATCAAATAATTTATGGATCACTATGCAAATTTTATATAATAAAATATACTCAAAAGATTTCCTCCATCCTAATTTAAAAAAAGGCGTAATAACTAATTGGAAAACAAAAAAATATTATTTTGTTCTATATGTGACACAACAACGTTCTTTAAACACGGTTGGTTGGGAAATAAAATACATTCGATCTCCTTACCTATCAGTTAATGATAAAACAAAAATTTGGATACATGTAACATATATGTTGCAACGAGATATTAGTTTTGACAAGAATAAGCATTCTTTTTGGCTAACCTTGGATGTACCAAGTATGACATTTTTAGACGGTGGCTCTAACATAACTAATTGGATAATAGTCAATATACAACTAACTGGTAAATACAGAAAGATAAATATAAGTATGCGTTGTCCTTCTTAAGTAATTAACGTTTTAATAAATATAAATTAATTTGGTAATTATTTATAATTACACACTTAATTGTCTTAAATTTTTTCTCTGTTATAAAGACCATAGGTTTTAACTATGTTTTCACTAACAAACTTTTTAAGTTACTAATTGTACTAATCAACTTTTCGAAATTATACGTAATTTTCGAACACCATGTACTTTTAACGTACTTTTAGCAAATTTGCTTATTTCAACGTACACTTTTTTGAACTGTTCTTTAAAATCTTTTAATGAACAATGAGCGACGTCTAAAATTTTTAGGACATTAGTCAATACTATGGTCTTAACAACATAATTAAAAACCAAAATTATCGGGCCTGACAATATAATTGTAAACGTTTACAACTTGTTTTTTTTTGCTTCTATTTAGAATCTTCAAATATTATTCAAAACTGAAAGTGTAGATATAATAATATATCTAGTTATAATTAACTAAAAATTTTACAAAAGTTCTTGCTTAAACTTCCTTAGTTAATTGTTTACTTAAAGAGTATAAACAATTAATAATTTGCAATAAACATGTTTTACACAAGTCCTTTGCAATAATTTATTCACGAGTAATTAATTTAAAAACGTATTTAGATACAAATAGAACTTTTGTTGTGTGGATTCTTTAATAAATTCTCGATTAAGAAATCTCTAATGATCAAAACATTTATTCCTCTGTACGATAGGATACTATCGCGTCAATTATGATGTTGGAAACTGGCAACAGCTTATGCGATACTTAAACTCTGAAGATTATAACAAAATACATATTCTCAATCGTGCTCAAATCATCGATGACGCGTTTTACTTCTTTGTACAAAAACAACTCAGATACAACTTGTTTTGGAATCTTACAAACTTCGTAATACGAGACACTAATTTTGTTACATGGTATCCTATGATTAAAGTTTTCGAATCCTTTACTTATATGTTTCCACTTGAATATGGTAATTTGATAATGGTAGGTAATGATAGATTTCCATAAAAAAGAGTTACATTTTACATACTAAATAAAATAAAATATATTAAATAAATAAAAATAAACAGTGATAAATTTAAGTTCAACAATTTTTAGGAAGCAATGAAAAACAGAATAGATGGACTTCTTACAAAAATAGGATACTTTGACAAACCAACAGACCATACTCTCACTATATATTTAAGACAAGAAGCTGTAAAATGGGCATGTATTCTTGGTATTTCTGAGTGCCGAAGAAATGCTGCTTCGAAATTATTAGAAGAGTTTAAATATTCTGAAGACAACTCGTAAGCTACTTTATAAGTATAATATTTATTTCATCAGAATGTTATTGCATTTTTGTATCATGCTGAATAAATTATTTTATAATTAAAATTTCAAAATGTAAGCAAATTTGTAGCAATAAGATATTTCTTTGTAATGCAGAAATTCGATGGAGATAAAACGAACATACTGTCATAATTTAATACCAATGAACCACACTATTTGGAACGAGATATGGAAGAAATGGAATGCAACGTTTGATGAAAGATTTTTAGAATACCTATCTTGCTCTGAAGATCTTGCTATCATTCGCCATTATTTAACGGAATTAATACAGCGCAAAGCTCAATCCGAATATGTTAATGCATTTTTTTTTAGTGTTGCAAAACATGCAAAAAAGTTGAACTGTATAATTTTATTTTCAATATTGTTAAAGAAGTTACTTTCGATTCAAATAGGTAACAACATTTTGCTTTAAATATACGTCTCTGTATATATTTCTTAATTATTTATATATATTATAATAATTAATTATTAACATTTGTCACAATTATTAAATTTATCAGTTTTTTACTTTTTACTGTGTTTTTGTAGGAGAAGTGACATCATTGCAACATTTATTGTAATTATTACGCATGTGCACGAGCAAGAGCACATAAGCGAGGTATACTTTCTGCACTTTACACTAACACACCCATTTCTTGGTATTTAAATATAAAGCTTTATGTCTACATATATTTATTACATATATGACATATTTTATGTGAATTATATATACTATGCACTGTGCTCTATCAAATTGCAATGTAGAGATCTATATGTATTGATATTATTGAAATAATTTGTTTCAGTTAACCAAATATTCATCGAAAACGCAAAATAAAATAACAAAATATGTTGAGAAAAAAATAAGGAAACGAAAATTGGAATACGCAAAACTATCCAACAACTACGGGTATTATTTAAGTAGCAAGAAATAAATAGCGAAACATTTGAGTCAATGGAAGACTCACTTCACTGTTTCTCATACACAATCATGTATCGATAATTGTTATAATCTCTTTCCTCGAATTTGTTAAACAATATCTATGCATTTAAAATTATTTAATTTTTATTCTTAATTATTTTTAATACCCTCATATTATTCTTATTACTAATGCTATAAATTTTGAATAACGCAGATATTTGCATTCTTTGATGAGTAATAAAAAGAATTACGTTAGTGACAAAAACAATCATCGTTTAAAATACGTATACAAAGGACATAAACGGACATCTGACAGCGATAAAATAGTCCATTTTCATTATAGAATTTGATTTTATAATACATAAGATTGTATTTGTATTATATTGTAAAAACTAACACATTCTACGCTCTCAGTCAATAAAGACGTTGAATAAATTTAAATATTTTTTTCATAAATGATTAATTTTATTATATACAAAAAATATTAATATTTACTTAAAAAATATTATATATATACTTAATATCACAACTGCGAAGATTTAATTAATTACATTTCTTAATTTCTATTCTCGTCTATCGATAAATAGTGTCATGATGAGAGTAAGCTTTTTAAAAGTTGTTTACATGGTATAACGTGCACATCTCCCACCAATATCTTCCTCAGTCTTCGATGATTGTTTGATATGGTAACATCGCGAATAGGTTTATATGTCTCTTGACGTTCACAATTGGAAGCGGTATTAGGCGTATTATTCTTACAAAATTACGCATTGCGACAAACTCCTCTATTTTAATTAATATGTGTAGGTGAGTAACCAACAACAAAATATTTTGTGTTCTATATTTCTTATATATTTCACTTCGAAAATATAGAAGCATATACTTATAAATTACAAGTATATCTTTAGTTTCTCAAAAGCACATATTTCAGAATCACTGACATTATTAAAGTTTCTCCTAACATTTGTCCTTTTTTCTTTACATCGCATGACGAGGTACACAACTATTAATTGTATTCGTTGCAAAATTATGTTAACAGTTATGAAAAATTGATTAGGAATGTATTAATCCGATATTTCTAAAATTATCAGTTATATCTTTCAATTTCAAACAATTTGGAATAATAGTTTAGAATAATTTCTACAAAATAATTTCTGTGGCTAAAAAAGTATATACGTGCTACAACATATATGATAGTTACGTCCAGCTTAAAGAAACAATTAAAAAACTTGCAGTCCAACTCATTCGTCTAAGAAAATGTATGCGTGTAAAGCCTTGTGAAACGTATTTTATATTTTAAATAATTAAAATTACATTTATCACATTTATATTCGAAAATTATGCATATTTTATATTTTCCACGTTCTCTATTTCCATGTTTAAGAAAAAGTTTGAAGTGTGTATTATGTTACTTACATAATTTTTGATAAAATTTTTTATGACATAAATAAGTGCAATTTTTTTCAATATTTATCTTCTTTTTGTTATATCAAAATTAACGACTGGATGTTGCATACATCTTTCTTATCTTCTAATTACAATATTTTTCTTACAGAGCAGAATTCCATTTAAAATTACATTAATATGTTCCGAAAATTTTTATTAAATGGTGGATTAGTGTTAATCGCTGTAATAACTAGTACTTCTTCAATTGCTAACAATACAGAATATGAACAAGGTGCTAACAATACTGAATATGAACAAGTTGTTAACAATACGGAATATGATACAGAAGATATAGCGATTAATTATAATTTGTCAGTTACAGTACCATTCCATTATAATGTCAAAATACTACTTCACCTTAAGGACAATCTTTTATTCGGCGATTGCAGTATTAATATAAACATTAGCCGTCAATTGGAATATATAAAGCTAAACTCCGTACCCATTCGTATAATTAAAGCAACCTTGATTGCTAGTAAAAATACAAATATGTATCAATTTTCTTCATTCAACAACTATAACGACATTCTTACTATTAATTTTGATGAAGAGGTATCTCCCGATACATACACTTTAAACGTGACATATATGCGTATAATACATGAAGATAGAAATTCATCCCAATCTATATATCAAGACAAACTAGGAGATAAAATGTATGTTAAAAACATTTGAAATATTGTTGTACAGTAAATAGTATACGTTATTATTCTTTGCCAAGTATTTTTATTGCATTCACCATTAACTTGACTTGCCAGAAATTACATTATAAAAGGAATTTAAAAAATTATTTTTAAAGCATCATGCAATAGTACACAAAAAATTGGTCGATTTCCACGCGGAGAAGTATACTCCGAATCATCACACTCGAGACAACAAATTATAAAATATCTTTCTGATTTTTCAATCTTAATATTTTTAATCAAATTATGATTAATAATATAATATATCCTTTATCTAAACAATAGCATTAAAATATTATAGGTTGAACCAAATAGGTGTCGAGGTAATGAAGGCCCGACAACTATTTCCGTGCAAGGACGAGTTAACTAGCAATTCTACAATTAAGATTGCCATCAAACATGACGAAAAATATACAGTTTTATCGAATATGCCTATTCGAGTACGAAATAAAGCTGCTAATAGCATGATGTGGACTGACTTTGACGAATCTTTACCAATGCCTGTGCAACGGATATCGTTTATGATAACCACATTTACTAATGTTTCTAGTCAGTTTGCAAATGTTACCATATGGTGCAGACCAAGTGTTTGGATATATGTTCTTTATGCAAAAGATGTTCTCGAAAAGGTTGTGCCATATTTTAAAGAAAAATACATGCTAGAATTATCGAAATTGGATATTGTTGCAGTCTGGCATTGTCACGACTATAACATTACGACATTGGGACTCATTTTGCTAAGGTAATATTAATCATTAATGGACATAAAATAATAAGGGTCTCTCAATAATGTTTTAAAATTAAGAGATAAACATACTTTTATGTCAAAATATTAATTAAGAAACAACCAAAATCCATACGGTAGTTGCATTATGCACTGAAATCTTTTTAAATTTATGTCTTTATTTTTAAACTTGTATTTATATTTTTAACTTAAATTTTTATTTTTAAATTAATGTCTTTATTTTAAATAAAAAATTAAATTAATTTTTACGTCAAATCAGATACATAAATACTTCATGTTATATAATACATGAAATCAGATTTAAATTCAGATTTTCACTACTGAAAGCGTGCAAAATAACTGTTTTACACTGTACAAATAAAGCAATTGTTATAAGATATCTTTTATTGTATCAATTTTTTTATTAATATTGAGAGAATCCATCGAAAGTTTCTTTTGAATATTAAGCTCATTTCCATTCATGACATTATTTATGCAAAATGTGCCGAGTTCTGCTTTGTCGTTTGTCCGTCTTTTCTTTAAATATACATTTGTATGCTAACATGTAGGTGAACATTTGTTAACTTTTAATTTTATAGACACACTGAAATGCAACGTTTATTAACAATAAGTAGAAATAACAACATAAAATTATTAAAATAATACATTAGTCCTTTCCGCAATTATTAGAAACATTCAACGTAAATCTGTTACTTAAAAATAATTTTTAGGGAAGCAGATATTATTTATAATAAAGATTTGCATTCCGTTATACGCCGAAGGGAAGTTGCGCACATGATAGCACGTCAATTGGTATTTCATTGGTGTAATGATGTGTTACTTTGGTCGAAAGAAAGTTTTGCTGCATTTTTTGGAGCGTATATCTTGGATCAGGTTGTTTTATATCTTTAAAATTCATATACATTGCATTTTTATAACATATATGCAAAAGTTTAATACCAGCGATCAAAATGTATGTTGCTGATGCAAATATACTTTTTAATTAAATATTAACTTAATGATATTAAATTTTCCAGATATATCAAAATGATCACATGATGGATTTAATGGTTGTACAAACACAGCAAGACTCTTTCCGTTACGACACCTCTTCTACTGCAGATTATCTACCACTGGAAAGCAGAAACAACTCTGAAATCAATTCAATAGGGTCTCCATCAAATTATATGAAATGTAAGTTTCAGTAAATATGACTAAAATCTGTATGTCATTAGCACTTTATTTAGTAAATTAGATGTAACAAAAAAATAATGTAACGTATAAGGATAATTGTAAGTAAACTCACAAATATTACATAAAAATATAAGAAAAGTTTTATTCATGTTATATTATAGAGATTGAATAAATACAAATGAAACGTTGTATATAATTTAAATAAATATAAACTAAAAAGTGTATTCACAATTGCTCATAAATTCATGAATATTCCGAAAAAAAATTTAAGAAAATTTAACTACGAACACATACGACTATCGTTTATTTATATAAAATTCATGATAATAATATGACAAATTCTCATTATTAAATAAAACATAATCTTAATTGTTACAGCATTCTTGATATGGCGCACGTTATCCCATTTAATAACTGATGTGTTTTGGATTAATCTCCGTACATATATAAATAGACAGTGAGTAATTATATTATATTATAATACATATAACAATTACATAGAAAAATTAGGCCTTGTATAAAATAACATATTTGCATTCTGTTATTGTATAAAGAGCAGAGATATAAATTCTGTTTCAAATCTGTAATGTTATCTTCATTCTAAAGTTTTCTAAAATTATATGATCTATTTCTTAAATTAATATATCCTTAAATATAAACAAGATACAATCAATTTTAATAGTTTAAATAACAAAACTTTGATATTCATTTAAAACAAATATTAAGAATTACAAGTAAATAAAAGAAATATTATTTTTTTTCTATTTAAAAAACAAAAAATATTGTAGTTGCATTAATAAATTAAGAGATTAAAAATTGGTTATAAAAGCATATTCTTTGAAAATAAAAAAATAATATATTACGATTAATAATAATTTCTATCGAGAGACAATTTGTTTAGAAGAAAATTTAATCCGACTTAAATACAACACTAAAGAAAAAAAAAATTATTTCGTAGTCTATAAAGAAAGGTACTTTATGTATACCAAATTGTGTATACTTAATAATACTAATATAAATCAATGTTTATATAAATTGGACAATAATTTCTAATAAATAATATTTACTAAAAAAATTATTCCATTGTTTACTTTTAAATGATAAACTTCATTTTCTAGCCGTTTTTCAGCGACTTATTCAAATATGACAGATGATTTATGGACCACCATGCAAACTCTATATGAAAAATACTCAAAAGATCTCCTCCATCCTCATTTAAAAAATGATGTAATACCTAATTGGACAATAAGAAAATATTATTATGTTCTAAATGTGACACGACAACGTTCTATAAACATGTTTGATTGGGACGTAAAATACATTCAATCTCCTTATCTATCAGTTAATGATAAGACAAAAATATGGATACATGTAAATTTTCATACACATATATCGATGAAGGATTTTAATAATTATGTGTCTTTATGGCTAACGTCGGATATACCAGTTGCAGGTGTAGACGGTCACTCTAACATATCTGATTGGATTATAGTCAATATACAATTAACTGGTAAATACAAAAAATAAAATATAAGTATGCGTTGTCCTTCTAAAGTAATTAACGTTTTAATAAATATAAATTTATTTAATTTTTCTTAAAGAAATTAGTAAATTAGTCTACAAGAGACAGTTAAAATGTACACCGATCTCAAATCGAGATACTTAAAGTGTACGAAATTTATAGTACATTGTTCTCATATATCGAGAAACTTTAATGTACGTATAGGAAT